ACAAGGAAAAGCCGGAGCTATTGTCAAACAATATCCTTTAAGTGACGATAATTACGATCTGGCTTGGGAAGCGGTTCGGTCTAGATATGAAAACAAACGCATTTTTGTCTACTTAAATCAGGTCAAAATTTTAATGAAATTGCCTGCTATTCAATCCGAGAATAGCGAACAAATACAAAGGCTTCAAACAAGTATTTACAACTGTCTGTCTGTTTTACATTCTCAAGACGTTTCAACAGACAATTGGGATCCTATACATTTATACATGTGTTCAACGAAATTCTAGCGGAAGGGCTGCAAAACAGTTTGCGGCAATCTTCTTGCGCAAAAGACCATATTTGGTTGGATACTTAGTGGTTCGGTGACCGAAAAGGTATCCTCATTTTCCACCCAAATAGAACGCGTTTCCAATGAAACGCTCAGTGTACAACTGAGGCAATTCTGGGAACAGGAGAAAATCCATATACCTTTACCTTTGCCTTAAAATCGGGCATGTGAAGATTATTATGTTGCAGGAACGACCCGTTATTCAAGCGGTCGCTACATTATCAGGCTTTCATTTAAGGAAACTTTCCCAGAAAAACTCACCCTAGGCCATTCCCGGTCTGCGGCATTCCAGCAATTCCTTTGCATGGAACGCACGTTTCAGAAGAAAGGGGAGTTAAAAACAATGTTTAACGATGTGTTGCAAGAATATATAACGTTGGGCCATATGGAACTTACAGTCACCCGTGAAATCAATTCCAATGGCAATTCGTTCTATTTGCCACATCATGCGGTTGTAAAACCAGATAAAGTCACGACGAAAGTGCGTGCCGTTTTCAACGCATCGAAAACATAAAGTTCTGGTAATTCACTAAATAATGTTTTACATACAGGTCCTTCACTCCAACCGAACCTCATGTTGCTAATTTTACAATGGCGCATGTAGAGATATGTATGGAGACATTGAAAAAATAATAAAGATTATCAGCGAATTTATTTTCGCGAGTCAGAGGATTCTCCCATCTTTGATTTTAAACTTAACACAGTAACATTCGGGGTTAATTGTGCGCCATATCTCGCTATCCGTACTCTACATCAATTGGCAGAAGATGCAAAAGTGAAGTTTCCATTGGCCACACCAATACTCAAAGCCCAAACGTATGTTGATGATATCCGGAAGTCATGATATTGACAATGCCACCGATTCACTCTTTCAAGTGATCAAAGCGCTAAAGTCATCTGGCTTTATTATCAAGAAATTAACGGCTAACAATCCGGCCATATTGGAAAAATTTCGGGGAGACGACCTTCTCGACTCCAATTTTTTGAAATTCGAATATGCTTCCACGAACAAAACTCTCGGTATCCGATGGAACGCATTAACGGACAGGTTCTCATACACCATCCTGCCAATTTCAGCAACTACAGCTGCAACAAAATGGCAAATTCTGTCGTCGGTCGTAAAACTTTTTGACCCCGCAGGATGGCCACATCAAGAACTTTGGTTCGATGGCATTGATTGGGATGAATGCGCAAAAGCCACTTCAAAGGTAAAATGGCACCAGTTTACTCAAACCTTGCCAGCCATCTCCGACATCGAAATTCCTCGATGGCTCAATTTTGCTCCGGGGCAGGACATGGAAGACATTCGTGTCTAATCGCACCTCACAGATTCGGGATTATGTCCCAAGCGGATTATGGCGTCATGTAGCAAGCGGAGGTAACCGGGCTAATCTCGGCACACGTGGTTGCAAACCCCAAGACTTAGCCAGCAATTCGTTCTGGTGGCACGTACCAAAGTGGCTCATACACTGCATGGAATCTTGGCCTAATTCAAAGGCACGCAGTTCCTCTCCGCCAGAAAAGCGGAGCCCGATTTTCTCAATCGATTCTCTTCACTCCGTCGAGCAATCCGCGTGACTGCGTATATGTTCCGTTTTATGAACAATGCCCAGAATAAGATGCAAAGCAGCGTCTAATCGAAGTATCGCAATCTCATTATTTACCTGGCGAAAAAGATGCAAAAAAAGATACAAAAGAAAAAGCCAATTGACAAAAAAAGTTCACTCCTCAACCTGAATCCATTTCTGGATAAAAACGGACTTCTCCGTGTCAATGGCAGATTAGCGCATGCCACACTCAGCTATAATGAGCGGCACCCAATCATCATCCCAAATGCATCAAGATTTTGTCAATTACATTTCATTTCTACACGCACTGCTTCTCCATGCAGAAACGCGACTCATGCTTTAAATGATCAGGCAAGAATACTTCATACCGAAGCTAAAGCCTTTGATAAAAAATGCATTTTTCAATGCAAAGCTTGCAATTTATATAAGCAACAAACGCGTTCCCAGCTAATGGCCGCTCTACCCCATGAGCGGTGCTCAATGTCCCTGCCATTTTCTGTAACTGGAGTGGATTTCGCAGGACCGTTTTTAATAAAGACCTCAGTTTTGAGATCCACTACGCTCATCAAAGGGTACGTTGCCGTATTCGTTTGTTTCACGACGAAGGCAGTACATATGGAGTTATGCTCTGATTTTACCACTGAGGCATTTAGAGCAGCATTCGCCCGATTTGTGGACAGGCGAGGATACCCCGCCAAAATGATGAGCGATAACGGAAAAACGTTTATCGGAGCACAGAGAGCAGCTGAACGCGAATTCGTCAAATTCCTAAACGAATGTTCAGCAGACATTACCCAGAAGTATGCTCCCCAAGGCATCAATTGGCAATATATACCAACCAGCGGCCCAAATATGGGCCGCCTGTGGGAATCCGCAGTAAAGAGTTTTATAACTCACTTCAAAAAAACCGCTGCATCCCACAAATTCACATTTGAAGAGTTCACAACACTCTTAATTCGAATTGAGGCTGTACTCATTTCTCGGCCACTTTCGGCATTATCACAGGACCCAGCTGATTTCACAGTACTAACTCCGGGTCATATCATTCGAGGCGCTCCGCTCCGCTCCGCTTGCACCGACCGCAGATACCAAAAACTGCCTGTAGTGTCGGCTGTGCCACCACTATCACGCTTTGCGCAATTGCCCCGCGTTTCGAGTAATGCGCCCCACTCAGCGCATCGCAGTGGTCAATGCACAAGGCTACTGCAGTAGTTGCCTGGCGCTTACCCACGTCACTGAAGAGTGCGACTCGCTCGGGAGCATCATACAATGCTGCATCCGTCCGAGCCGCAAACAAGCAGGCTAGTCCCTAAAACAACGACCAAGGCGAAGAAGTAACCACATCATCGCGCCACACAGCAGCGCGCAATAAATTAGCGCACCAAACAGCAGCGTGCACCCAGCAGCGCACCACACATCACAGCTCATAGCAAAGCAAGGCTCCACATCGTCACGCGCGCCACCCAACAGCGCGCCATAAGAAAAAGCAGCAACGGGAGCCAAAGGTCGCGCTCAGTAGCGCATACGTCCACCGGACTGGAGACCTCGCACGACGTATCTTACCGCGGCAACTTAGCACTCCATTGAGCTTCCCTCAATTCCCTTATCAGTAAAAACCTAAATTGTGAAACTAATAATTAAATGAATTAGTGGAAGTGTTTGTGCACATAAAACCCAAAAAAACTACTTCTTTTATTTTTTTTCGGCCGATTGGCATCAAACTTAGGGCAAGTTAAATAGTTACTCATGTTTCAAATGGATTTAGGGAACACAAGAACACCAGTGATATAAATACCGAGTTTAATAAAGCGTGAGACAGTGTAAACCATCTATTATTTTTTAAAAAACTAGATCTTCTTGGATTTCAACCTAAACTTTTTCAAAGGATATGATCTTATTTCTGTAACAAATCGCAAAGAGTATTTTTCATGACACCCTTTAGGACATAGTTTATGTAACCTCAGGCGTTCAGCAAGGTATCAACCAGGATCCGATTCTGTTCTCGTTATTTATTAATGATTTGTTTTCAGTCATAAAGTATTCAAGTTTCTTAAATCATATACCTCAATTAACAAGAGGCGTTATTTGCAAACCAATTTTAATAATTTAAGGAATTTGGTTCAATAATAATGATATGCCTCTTAATCCTAACTAATGTAAAACCATGTTCTTACACAATTGGCAATATATTCCCGAACAAGTAAGTCATTTTGTTACTTTTCGTGTAACAATGCTATTAGTGCGACCAATATTGGAGTACGGTTCTGTGGTGTGAGTAATGCTAGGAGTGGTTTTTTTAGTAAAACTTTTAAATGGTCTGGTTTGCAGTTCATTTCTTTTGGGCGGAGTAATATTTAATATCCTTATCCGATTAATATGACAGTTTGACCATAATTTTCAATTTCAAGTAAATCAAACTTTTAGCTATATAAACCATTTCGCCGTATATGTCAATGTCTTAACGTAAAATATTACTATACCTACCTCTCTTAGTAAGTAACTCAATAGATTTCGTCAATAGCATAATCAATCGTATATTTCAGGTGATGAATTTTTTTATCTGTAGCTGTGGTAGTGGTTTTGATTCTGATGTTTAACAAACCCTTGCTCTTCATGACTCTGCAAATTCCTTATGTCATGCCAATGGCAGTCGGTTGGACGGGAGGAGGGCAGTTCTTAGTGTTATTATTATGTCACTCCCAAGCTTACACAACATCTGTTGTTGTCTTTACTTATTCAATTTATATTTGTTTCCCATTTTACGAAAGTTAAAAGCAAAAAAAAAAAAGGTTCGGCGTATATACTCTATATTTTTACTCTCTATGATTCCGTAGATTTTGGAAAAGAAATAATTAACATTAACAAAAAATGATTAAGGCTTACAAGAAATAATTTGATTTTTGCCCACTCGAGAAGGCACTATGTGTGGGGTGCTTCTCTGCTTAAAAAGGGTAAGTATATAAATTTATGTTATGTTGCAATGATATATAAAAATTATATATATATATTGCATAAATGTATATGTATGTGCGCCCGTTTACAGTAATATGTAATATGTGTACAGCCCTCAGAATAAGTTGGGACAGATAAATAAATTTAACACACCTTTTAAGATTTGTGCAAACAGATTGGCATCATTCTCATCATAAAACGGCGGATACCCGCAAAGTAAAATGTATGATATCACACCTATGCTCCAAACATCCACTGCTTTTCCATAAGGCTTTTGCGCCAAAACTTCCGGTGCTACATAGCCAGGTGTACCACAAGCCGTAGCCATTATACCAGAGTCTTCCATTTTCGACAAACCAAAATCGCTGATCATTATTTTACTACCATCATCTGCGCTGTAGTAAAGCAGATTCTCTGGCTGCAATTAATAGCAAATAAAATTTCATTAATGAGTAACTAATTATGTTTTTTTATGTCAGGAGAAAAAAAATACAAGTAAACACGATTGGCTATGTACCAACCGTAAATAAAAATAGAATGGGATAATTACTTTTACAAGAAAGTATTACAATTGTAAAGCAAAGCATCGGTATCTTTTCTTCATTTTTTATTGTTTAGATGTGAAAGATTGAGCCACTTTTTACTAAGATAAAAAATAAAACTATAATATATTTGGCACTTTTTAACCGCTAAAGCGATTTTTAGTCGAGCAAACTACAAAAAAAAATTATTATTGTATTTAGCGACAAAATATTGTAACTTAATTTTTAATACTACCAATTATAGAGTCCTGATTAAAAAGAACTTTGTTTTCCAAATCTAAGTTCTTCAAGCTGAGAAATCGGTTGCTAAAGGAAAAAATTAAATGTTTCGTATTTTAATAGTAGAAATTGGCAGTTGGGATTTCTGCAAGTCCGATCAGTTTCTCGACAATAGTTTACTATATTATGGATCTGATATTATACTAAATATGCTTTTTTAGTTCATGTTGATAATACTTCTTACCTTTAGATCCCTATGGACAACGCCTTGCTCATGCATATAGTCAACGGCTTCTAAAATTTGTCGTATCAAGCCTGAAGCATCTTTTTCGGTATATGAACCTTTTTCGACAATTCGATCGAAAAGTTCACCACCAGTTACTCTAAAATAATAAAAGTTTGTTACCGAAATGTAGATAGAGGGTGCTTATGATTTTATTTTAACAATATAAATAAAAACTTTGAAGCAACTCCAGACACACATCGATAATTTTATACCAGTTGTAATAAGAAATAATTAAAAGAAATCATTATTTTTTCAAACATTCTTATACAGCTGTGTTCAAAGAAATTTAATGTGAAAAATTACAAATATTTTACCAGTATATTATTGTTTTACAAATAATTTACAGAAAATTAAAGACAATTTAAAGTACAGCTTTATCACATAAGGAAGTTATATATTGTCATACTATGGCGTAGGGCCCATATATCCAATAACAAAAGTCATGAAACAATTTGTATACTTTCAAACTCTTGAGGAAACTGTGTTGCCGTATTCTGAGGACAATATGTCGTTGAAATGGGTATAGTAGGAGGATAATGATCCGAAGCATACCAGTAAGCGGGCAAATTTTTGTTTTCACAAAAACCATATTGGAATGATGGATTGGCCAGCTCAGTCTTCGGATTTCAATCCTATGTTAAGATTGAATAGATTCATCAAAACCTTAAACAAATAAGGAGTTGTAGGATAAACAATACCAGTCGAAAGGTGTTAAAGCTTAGTCGACTCCATGCAAGCCATTAAATATTAACTTTTTAATGTTGTCACCTACACTTTTTTTATTACAATATGTATGTGCGCAAATACATACGTACATACATATGTATACCTACAGTGGCTGTTGGTCAAGAGCCTATCAACAACCACACACGTAAAAACAAACTACCGCACAAAAAGGAGATGACAAAAAAATAACAAAGCGACCGGCCAGCTAAGTGAAGACGGCGTGGGTCGCTAGCTACGTACAATAACAAAACTATTCGCCAAGGAAGAAAAACAACACCAAGTTGATCTCACTAACGCCGATATAAACAGCAAATTTGAACTACTGAAAACAAAATATCTTTTTGGGCGCACCCGAGGTGTGGTCCAACCAAACTGGTTACGAACCCACTCGCACTACTCCCGGGCTGCCGGGGGTAACTTTAACCCGCCTGTATGACTGGGCTCTGGGTGCGGAATGCTAGAAGGATGGGTCAGAACGTAACGAGGGTGGTGACACTGTCGGCACGACAAAACGTACGCAAACAATAAATACACGAAATGATACTTATCAGCTTCTCGGTCGGGTGTGGGTACCCAACTTCGGTGCTCCTCCGGATGATCCCGACGCCAAACTCTGGTTCCGCCACTGGAATATAAAAAACCACCTATTTTGCACTTGGCTTCGACTGCCCTTAAACAAGCCCCGACTGGCTTAAAATTTGCACTACTTTTTACAAGGCTTCAACTGCCCTTACACTACCACTTGCCTCGCCTGGCACAACGCTATTATATTTGTAATAAAAAAATATCACAAATTTTTTTTTGTTTTTTTTCTTTTTCGCAAATCGCACGCCTGCGTAAGAAGAAGTTCGCATTCTTCTGTAGATTGCAAGAATCTTATCCGGCACGCACTTACAAGCCAGGCCGCAAGCTACGCGTCGGCCTTCAAAATCCTCCTGCGAGTGTGTATTAGTGCCCAATCATTTGGCGCCGCCCCCATTACCCAAAGGGACCGGATTGTATAGCGCACGACACCATGGCACACCAAGTACACTGAGATAATTTTTCCCCTCGCCGCTTTAAAGAAAAAGGCGACACCCCTTTTTACGGAATTCCCGCGCAAAGCATTCCGTTGCCCTAATATTTGTTAGTGGAGGAACCGTTTTGGGGAACGCCAACGCTTGGAGTGAAAGGAAGCTTAGGAAAAACAAAGGAAATGAACACACAAACACAAAAGAAGTTTTTGTTGCGGCCGGTACGCGACAAGCTTACCACCCCTTCCTCAATGAAAAGGAAGGAACCTTTGAACCAGGTCCCTTTGCCGACCGAAGTCATCTGTCAGTGTTTGTGTCCACGGTGACACTCTCTTCCTAACAATAAACGGCCCTACAGACTTTGGAGCTAACTTCGCCGCATAATAATTCGCTGCATCTGACAGCATGAAATTTTTCCTCCAGACTAACTCTCCTGGCATGTACTGCACATCTCGACGTCTGAGATTGTACTCCCTCGCGAGGTTCTCACTCGCCTGCTCTAACCTAGATCTAATGTTGATCCTAATCTCCTCGAGCCTCTTTCCTCGCTCCTGACAATTTCATTTATCCTGATCTCCTAAACTGTCTGTGAAGTCCCTACTGCCTTCTAGTGCCGTTTCCCTTCCAAAATTCACAACATATGGCGTAGTTCCTAACACTTCGTGCTGCGCTGTCCTAATGCAGCAAGCTACCTTCGGTAACTGTTGGTCTCATGTTCTCTGATACTCTGATACGTAAGCCTTAAGTGTTGTCTTAATAATTTGATTATTTCTCTCGGCCGGACTAGCATGTGGGTGATAGTGTGCGGTGTACCGGAGTTGGACGCCATAGCCACCGCAGAGGCGCCGAAGCTCTCGACTCCTAAATTGGGGTCCATTGTCACACACAACCGACCGAGGAACTCCAAAAAAAACAAATACATTTACCTCCAATTGTTTGCATACGCTTTTTGCCGTCGCAGTACGCAAAGGGAATAGGAGGGAAAATTTAGAAAAGTAGTCTACTACTGTCAAAATATACTGGTAATCTTGTGGCGACTTCACTAAAGGCCCAGATCTACACAAATCATTTCCTAAGGCTCGACTGCCTTGGTCCTCTCTATCATACCACCACTTGGCTGTGAATTCTCAGGTTTCATCCTGGGCCAGTAGAACTTTTGAGAAACGCGCGCAGAAGTCTTTCTCACACCCATGTGGCCTGCCAACGGGCTGTCGTGAAAATCTCGACCTAACGAACTTGTAAAGGTTGCCACCTTCAACTCTCCACGATGGATACGACAGAGGCTTTTTCTCTAACAGCCGGATCATTCTTGCTAACCAAGGATCGGCAGTAGTCACCTCAGCAATAACGGGCACACTTCGGGATAGCATATCTGGAACCACATGTTCCTTGCCTTTCCGATGCACTATATCAAAATCATACTGCTGGAGCTTCAAAGCCCATCTCGCTAACCTACCACACGGATCCTTCAACTTATTCAACCAAATAAGTGAATAATGATCGGTGACGAACGTAAACTTAGCGCCCTCAACATATGGCCGCAGTTTCTCAACCGCCCACAGAACCGCTAGGCACTCCTTTTCGGTCGTCGAATAGTTTCGCTTTCCTTTGTTTAAGGACCTACTCAAATAAGTTATAACCCTCTCACCGTCATCAAACATCTGCGTTAGCACCGCACCTATACCGAAATCAGACGCGTCTGTCTGGATTGTAAAAGGCCTATCAAAATCTGGGCAACTCAAAACCGGAGCTGTCACCAAGCGCTCTTTCGCTTCTCTAAAACTCCTTCCACAATCTTCAGTCCAATTGAACTTTCGATTTTTCTTTGCTAAATCGGTGAGAGGCCTAACTAATTCTGCAAAATCCTTTATAAATCTGCGGTACCAGGACACTGTTCCTAGAAATGACCGCACTTGCTTTACGTTTTTCGGTACCTCAATCCGAAGCATCGCCTCTACCTTATCGGGATCTACGTGTAGACCGTTCTTGTCCACCACGTAGCCCAAATATTTCAGCTCAGACCTACAATAATTACATTTTTCCCTATTTAATCTAATTAATAATATTGTATCATCCAAATACACAAAAACATGAGGTTCTAACTCTGGTCCTATGACCGAATCTATAAATCTCTGCAAACCGTATGGCATCCTCTTGAACTGAAATAGTCCCCTGCCTGGTACCGTAAACGCTGTAAAGGGCCTCGACTGCTCCTCCACCGGAATTTGCCAATAGGCGGACTTAATATCCAGACTGGACAGAAACTTGGCGTCCCTCAGCTTATCTAAGGTCGCCGACACGTATGGAAGTGGGTAACTATCTTTCTCAGTACATTTATTTAAAACCCTATAATCTACACAAAACCTATATGTACCGTCTTTCTTCCTGATCATAACTACTGTAGACGCCCAAGGACTATGTGATTTCTCTATCACCCCTTTATCGAGCATATCATTAATCTCTTCGTCCATACGCGACTGTATGACGGGAGACACAGGATAATACCTCTGTTTTACAGGTTCAACTCCTGCCTTTACCCTGATCCTACGCTCGACCAAATGGGTCCGGCCTAGCCCTTCCGGCATAGCCTGGAACGCACCAGCTATTAAATGACCTAATGCCCCAGACTCTCTTTCGCATAACTCGGAGAGGTTCACTATTGCCACCAACGGTTCTGGTTCCGGCCGAGAAAACGACCACCTCATCCTCGATATATCCGGGATAATACCCGCCTTGGCCCAAAAATCGATGCCAAGAATTACGCCTTGAGGTAACTCTGGAACCACGAGGCATTCCAGGAGAACCGACTTGCTCTCCACCTCGATTGGCAACAAAACCGAACATAACACCGAGATATGACCTCCATCCGCGAGAGTCACTCTCAAAACATTAGAAACAGAATTCACCCTAATACCAAACGGGCTGAATTTTTGCCAACCTAGCCGACCTTTTACTGTTCTGGTCGCACCAGAATCCAACAAAGCTCAAAAAGCAGAACCATGAATTTTAATATCCAAATAAGGGCGTTCGTCGTGACCGTCCGTCACCTACGAAAACGCTAACCTAACCTCTTCAAAATCGACACCTACATTTGCAAGCTGGGTGTTAGCAGGTTCACTAACTTGCCCTATTACACCGCCTGTCCTGCTGTCCCAGGGATCTATCTCCCGTTTCCCGATCTGTTGTCCGACCTGAAAACCTCTGTAGATATATGCCCGAATCTCTTGCAATTAAAGCAACGGGTATTCGACCCCGGCCTAAAACTATCTACAGTGTCCGGCTCTGCTACCGCCGCGACCTCTACACCAGCCGAGACATAAGCCAAGTCAGGTTCCAACAAACCCTTGGCCTTATGACT